CATGTGGCTTAAGCCAGGAAGTAAGGCTATGTAACACACCACAGTTGTAACATCTAAGATAAATAGTACTGATTATCTGCTCACATGACACACACAGTAGACAGACCGTAGTTAGAGCTGTCTAATGTTTTATTATTATATGCAGTTTCTTTCAGTTGTCCCAGCTGATGACTTCTCTGCTTATCTCGACCACTAACTATTCTTGGTTTATACTACTTGGCACTCTGCTTAAGCAAAAACAGTGGCCATTTTGTGAAGAAGCTGGTTAGTAATGGCAGTTTTGTCAGCACATATGTTAGACATTATCTCATCTATATTCTGACTCTTTTCCAGAAAAGCTTTTACACAACAGAAATTCAGAGCAAGAACTCAAAATCTGATAGTCGAGCCCTGAAGTCAAAACCATGCCTTTTGCTATTTAGAAGGTACACAGTTCAGTTAGAGAACACCCAGCACAGGCTCTGCTCAGCTATACTTACACATCCACTCCTATTTATTTGTCCTGTCCAGTCTCTTCCCAGAGATGGTGGAACTGCTGCTCATGGACAAACATATCCTTTAATTTGTGCACAGCAAAACTGATCTTGCTCTCCAAGCACGTATGTTAGCAAAGCACATTTTGCTTGTCCATCCTTAAAATCTCTTGTGAGTCATTCATCTCACATGCATCAAGTTTTTAGGGAGCTGAAGACAGCAGCTGCGAGTTTAAAAATTATTCAGAAATGGAAACAACCATTTTCGCTTGTTAAAGGTCCTATGCAATGTACACTGAACTGGAAGCTGCAGAAGCTGATTTCTTGTCTTGCCCCAGTATCTACTGATTCACATTTTGCTGAGTTTCAAAGCCCCAATAGCTAACTGATATCACAAGAATAAGGCTTTCACCTATTTGCACAGTCCCTTTACAAGTAAGCAAAGAAATGGTATGAGATGGGGGAGCAGCACTGCTTTTTAGATCAACAGTTTGCTTTACCATATAGTTCAGACTTTCATGCTACCATCAAGCACAGAGCCCACAAAAACATATTACTTATTCCACCAGAGAAAAATGGGGAGCTGTTAAAGACCAGAGCCTGAACACACCAGCTGATTTACACTACAAGACTTCATTGCTCCATGCCACTTGTTAAGTAATCAAGTGGCTGAGAAGTCAAGTTTCCTGTTTAAAAGGCCATTACCATTATGTAATTATGGAAAGACAATTCACTAGGAACAGAAGTGGTTCCACTACTGATTCCTTGCGGCTCAGCTCAGCCACCGGAGAGCAGGTGAGCAGTATGATAACATCTTGAGATCCTCTCAGAAATTGGGGCTCATCTACACCAATGTGAACCTTCAGCTCTACACTTTAAATAGGTTAGGCAACACGCTCTCACAAAGGCTCAGGGAGGAACATACAGAAACTGTACAGCTAGGAACTGTCCTAGCGGATGTCTTCCCCAGAGAAGCATTCCCTCTCAGCCCCCACCCAAACCAGTCTTACTGACAAGGCAGCTATGAAAATGAGCACATGTTTAAACTCTTGAGACTGTAAGCATTCAAAGTCTCACCTCGTGGTACAAGAAATCCCAAAGCAGCATTTAGAAATCATGCACACCTCTGCTATTAAAAACAAGCCAACCACCAAAAGCCCCATTCTTTGAACAAAGCCAAGCAAATCTCCTTTGAGGGATACACAGCTATCTGACCCGGCAAAAATCAAAGTTGAGTCTAAATTATCAAACCACAGAAGTAAACCTGACAACGTTCTTGCAAGCAAATTTCTTTTCATGCTGGGACAAACTTGAAAGGGGCTGAACAGTACACCTCAAGCTTTATTAAACAGACTAATCTCACAAGCTGTTAGTAAACCCAGGGCCATTGCTCATGGCTTCCTACCTTTGTAACAGCCCACCTACACAGCACACGCATTATCTGCTGACTCCGGAGCAAGGTAGTTGCTGTACTGAAGCGACCCGAGTGGGCACCTTTGAAGTAGAAGCTGAACATCTTTGCTGGAGTAGCTCTCATGTTCAAAGCGGTCACAACAGACAGCAAGGAAGCCATTGCTCTTAAAACATTACTGACCGTGCTTCAAAGATGAACATGACATAATTGACTTTCAGTGGTACCTGTGAGTTATTAGAAGGGATTTCGTGCAGAACTCCTAGTATCAAGTGTCCATCCCTCATCTGTTGTATGTGGGAAGTGAGAAGCCTTGTAGCATGTTCCTGTACTAAGAGAAAGTAGCAAAGAAGGCCAGAAAAGACTGAATATTGTTATTACACTCAGATTATTCTAACAGTAGCAGTGACCCTACACATGCTTCCTACCCATGAGTGACAGCACTCCTTGCCAGCCCCACAGCACCTTATTTATTCCCATCCCCAGGCCACACACACTGCCCCAACACAGGGACATCCAAGGCAGGATTTCCCTTCGCAGCAGCAGTGGCCAGAGCTGGAAGACAGGCTGCCCTGGCAGAGGGAGCACCTTTGTGCTTTCTCTCACTCCCATTCCTTGCACAAGAAAGAAAGAAAGGTCAAGAGGGAAGATGCATATCAAACTACAAGTTGCAGGAGGTCGATCATGATGCCTACAGCCACTGCAGAAGGTAGCTGAGGGGAGGTCCTGGCTCCCTCTTTGTCTTTCTAGGGTTGGGAACATCTTTCCAGCAAGAACCATTTACACCCCCTCACTCCTTAATTTTTTGCAACACAGGCATCATTTGGAAATACTTTGGCAAGATGGGCAGGATGAAACAAAAAGGAAACAAGCTCAAGTTTGCCTTTGAGTTACTGTAGGTGTTTTGGATTGCCAAAACAGACACATCCTGAAACCAGGTTTCGCACAGAAGACTGGGAACACCAGCAACCACAAATCCAGCAAAGCAACACTTCGCCTGTAATGACCCCTAACTTAACCGCTAGTGGGAGCTCCTACTTGCCAGATGTGCAAACGCGCCATTCCCGACACTCATCCCAGCACGACAAAGCCTGGCTGGCTGCAGCTGGGTGATAAGCAGATACCTCACACGGGCTTTTACAACTTAAAAGGAGCCAAGGTCCAGCAGCAAGCCATACAGAAATCTCTTTTTGCAAACTGCTTACCAGAACTTCCTGGAAACCTGGAACACAGCTGCAGTACCATACAAGCGATACAGCAAAAAAAAAACCCAAAGCCAGGCAAAAGCTTCAAGTAACCAACCATAACTCACACCAGTTAACAAATACAGCACTTGGTTTATTTTTGTTCTCAACTGAAACAAGACTCAGTAGGTTTGGTACTTGCAATTGAAGCACTCCATTTCAGAAGGGAGCTTCCAGGCGCAGAAACTTGAAGTAGGAAGTCTTCAGATGTACAGTACTTTATATAGAGTACACAATAAATTACTATCTACATGCAACATACCTACAAAAAGTTACATACAATGTAAAAAAATACAGTATTTCCTGCTCATTTTTTGTTTTAAATTTTTTTCTGTACATTTTTTAATTTACATTTTATATACATTTTTGTAAACTTTTTGTATTTTTATAAAACAAATCACATAACAGTTATGAACTTACATCATTGTTCTTACCATTCTAAAACAATGCTTGCATCTACAAAACAGCCTTTAGCTTGTTTGCTCCTTCATTTCTACTTTGGCACCAACACACTTCACACCATTATTCCGACCTAATTAGTCCACTTGCTACCTAGCCATGTTCTCAATATGGAGAAACACAATCATATTTCAAATTTGTGCTTCAGTAAAAGAAGTTCAGAAAAAACATTACATTAACTACTTCATCAACATCACATTTACCTGATATTACTGCATACCAACTTTTCCTGCACTAACTGCTTTACATAAGCATGCAAACAAGTCTTGATTATGACTTAACGTGAATATACTGAAAAACAACTACAAGGGTTAAATATTAAGAGGAATGTAGACTTAAAGATTTACCATGTTAATAAGTCTATGCTAATAGCATGGATTGACATGTTAACAGTCAAGATTTTAAACCCACTGAAGTATACAACGTGAATTTCAGTGTAAAAACATCTGTATTAAAGAAAATATGAAATTACTCCCTGCCACACACTTCATACCATCCTTTAGGAAAAACTAGTATTGACTAGAACCCTCCTTCCTGCCATGCATACTACTATTATGAAATAGGGATTCCTGAAGTTTATAAAAACCAAGCTTTAAAAAAAAAATCTACTTGGACTACACAACTCAAGATCCTGTTGAAAAGGAGCACATGTGAAGTGTTAAAGCAGTTTCAGTATTTGGCCCATTTGACAGTAAACTATTTCAGCCTGCTACTTTGTATGTGTAACATTCCACATAATTTGGCCAATTTGATCTAATCCCAAAATAGGAAAGAACAGAAGTGCCCAAGAGGACTCTAAATCCAAGCTCCCACTCAAAGCAGGCTCAGCACTGCTCAAACCAAAGCTCAGGGTTTTGTCATGTTGAATCCTGAGAACCTCCCAGGACAAAGACTGCACAGCCCCTCTCGGTCCACTCCCATGCTTGTCTGTCCCCCCTGAGCAAGCTTCTGCCATTAACCGAGAAATTCACATTACAATTTAATGAAAGGCTCTCATTCTTGCACCATGCCTCTCAGTGAAGACCCTGAAGTCACCTCCTCAGCAACCTCCTCTTTAAATACCAAAAGGCTGGTGGTACTTCGGTACTGTGCCAGGCTGAATAAGCTCATGTTGCTCAGCCTCCCCTCACAGGTCCTGCTTAACCATCCTGGCAGCTTCCTGTTGGACTTGCACAAGTTGATCAACATCTTGAGCCCCGAAGTGGACACTATCACATGAGAATGAATGCCAAGGAAAGAGAAGAAAAATCCTGCTTCCCTCAATCTATGGGCTACACTCCTGTAAACAGAGCCCAGTTTGCTGTCAACCTTCACTGCTGCCAGGGCACACTGCTGGTGTTTAGCTGCTAAGCATTTTGGATCACCAGGCACACAACTATATTCATGCTTGTTGACAAGAACTATACATGAACATTTTTGCTGAACTGGGGACACGAACGGGAAATTTTCCTTCCTTAAAATTATAACAAAAAAATAGGGCAAGCATTCAAAGCATTGATAGAGCACAGCAATTCTTGCCTTAATACAGTTTACAGATTACCATCTCATTTATTATTGCCAAAAGACTCCGTGGTGCCTAAAAAATCTCAACCTAATACAATCAAGATTTAATGCTAAGACCGACAGCTAAGAGCTTGCCACTTTGTTTTCGGTTCAAGTTCAAAGAAGAACGTGCCTTCCAGATCACTTGGAGGAGAACTGCTAAGGCTTTCTTCCCCGCTGCTCATATCTTCACAGGAGTCTTCACTAGAAGGAACAGTACAAAAGGTAATTTCAACAAAGCACAAACCCTTGACAGTGGGAAACTATTCCTCAATCCTATGTCTTCCTGCATGCTTTTCCATTCCTAGTGTTAACATCCCAGATCTAAACGCTTCTCAGCACTAAGGCTTAAATCATAACATCCTTTCTTCTAATGACAAAAAATCTCCTACCAAGAAGCCAGTGTTCAAGATGTCAAATATAAATTACTTTAGAAGACTTAAATGCTTTGTAAGCCTTCCTGCCTTATAAAAAATAAGGAATGAGTCCCTCCATCCTTTTAAGCACTTGGACTTAAAATACATCCTGAACATCAGAAAAAAATAGGGAACTGTCATTGCGATGTTCAAAAAAGTATATCAGTATTTTCAAAGTTAGCATTTTTCCAAATAGTCATGAATAAGCCTAGTTATACAGAATTACCATTAACATTTCTAGAAAAATTAAAATTCCCAACAAATTAACCACCTGGTCTTTCTACTAACCTCTCACTTTCACTGAAACATCCACCCTCTGGAATTGTTGGCAACTCAGGAACACTGTAGTAACTGTTTTGTAGATTCTGGGCTGTACGTCTTGAAACAATCCAAACTAGCTTTTTATGATCAGGCTTGCAACATTCAGGAGAAGAATAATCTGCTAGGCATTTTGAGACCAGTTCCCTCCAGTAAAGTAGGTCATTATCACTTATCTGAAAAGCAAAAAAAACCTACTTAGTCTATTACACACAGGCTCTAAAGATAACCCCTCCCTCCATTTTACCTTCTTGGAAAAAACTTAAATATCAGTTCAAGATATGAGTCATAACTGATACCTTTGTCAAAGTTGGACTGCTTTTGAAGGTGAACTGCTGTACACCTTCTAGAAACGTCCACCTTGAAGTCTGAGTCGACAGTTTGCCTGTCAGCTGCAGTTAAGATTTTTCATTATCACTTCCAAAGGAAAAATGAAACCAAGATTATTCCATTTTAAAATGGTGTAATCTCATACTTCAAGGAACTGCTTCCACCCCTCAAGAAACCATGTTAGTTCAGTTTGACTATGGAAGTGAAAAGCTTGTTCTAGACCATCAACTGATACAGCACATAGCTAAAAGCTGTAAATACCATGTTATTCAGGCAAAAAGAACAACCATCTCAGCAGTTATTGTAGTCATATGAACCAGTTGGAAGTCTCTCTAGAACACACAGCTAGAACTGTACAACTTAAATCAGCTGCTTGTTAAAGCATGTATTGTGTCGGCATTAGGTCAGCATTTCTTCTGATTTTATACATTTAAGCTATTTTTTTCAAACCAGCCAGGCAGTTGCCAAGATGTGCCAGTACAAAATGACTACCTGACCTCATTCTCTAAGCAGCAGCTTTTTGCATTTGGCATTCTACCAATGAAATCATGTTAGCTACAAGAGTTGCACAGACAGACCCACTTCACTGTTTATTTCAGCTGATGCCAGACAATACCTGTAAAGATTGTACACTGACAGCAGGGATCCCTTAAATGTAACATCGTTAACTGCACCAGTCCCAACAACTGCAAAAACAGTCCACTGAAAATATTTACCTTAGAATGCTTTTGAACACGCAGAAGGATCTCAAACAGCTCAACAGATTTCAAAGTCTGAACTTCTAGAGTGAGAAGGCACAGGGCCAAGACAGATGGCTAGAAGGACAAAAAAAAAAACCCCACTGCTCAACATAACATGAATCAAAACCTACTGAGAAGTCAAAGAAAGCTACTTCAACTTACTTTTGCTTTAGAAAAGACTAGGCGACAGTTGCAAGCTTTTAGCTGTGCTTCCAATTTGTCAAGATTCAATACTTCTTTCCTGTAAGACACCCAAGAGAAAAGTATGTGTCAACAAGCATTCACGTTTCAGGAAGTAAAAACTAAGCTGCCTCCTCTAGAGCCCATGCCATAATCATTTAAGTGGCAAATAAAGAGAAAAAGGGCTTATCAAGCCACCAACAACATGCAACTCAACTCACCTTTCTGAGGTATGACAAAGTACAATAGTATGGTACAAGTGCAAGAAGGTTAAGGCAGTAGTAGCTTTAAATTCAAAGTGCAACTTCTCTGAAATTATCTTCTCCATCCGTTTCAGGTCAGACACAGTGCATTTACATTGGCTGATCCGGATGATCTCATGAGCAGACGGAATATTGCATTCTTCTTCGACTACTCGGGCAGCCAGTTGAAAACAACAAACTCCAATGCAAGACAAATGCTTCGGTTTTACCTAAAAAGAAGGGGAAGCACTTTAATATTTCCCCCTGCATAACCACCACACCTGTCAAACACCAACAGCTCACCCAGCCTAGGTGAGCTGTTTTGAATATTCAGTTCAGTAGAAAGATTTGCTTAACTCAGGTTGACCTAATGTTAGTCTACTCATACACCTCACCTAGTCATAACTAGTTACATCACTTAAGTCTCAGTGAAACAGAGCCAATAAAGCAGTATCGATCAGCCATAGCCAAGTCCGAGGAAGTTAAGTTCAACAGCTGAGCACCCTCTATGGAAATTGTTCCACATCACTACACAACAAGGAAACTCCAGGAAGAACTGCAATACCCCGCTTCTCCAAGTGGCAGTGCTCACTTACCCTCATTTAAAGACTACACAAATCCAGCCCGAGCCTGTTCTAGGCAGTCCTATCCCTCCACAACTTGTTCCTACCTCCGCTATTCTCTATGTACCAGCATAACATTCTGTGCAACATCAAGGACAATCAGACCAGATAACTGATGCAACAAGTTTTTCTGCCAACTTAATAATGGGGAACTGGTTTATGCTCAAATTGTCTACAATATAGCAGTACAAACACAAAAAGTTCCAAGCGATCATTCGGTATTACTTCTGGCACTAAGCTAAGCTTTAACACAGTACCTACAGAGTTACAAGTTTTATTCCTTCCCAATTCCTCCTTTCTTAGTCTTCTATGTCCACCTGGTAACAGCTACAGATTAAAGGAAATAAACCATGCTGTTACTTGCCTTTAGAGGTAAAAAGAACTGTACCCAATGCCAAGTTTACAAAGGAGGTCTTCAGAAGTGTTGCTAGCATAGAACGAGTAAATAGCTGCACTTATGTCCTAGATCACAACCTTCTTTTTGTCAGACAAGACAGTTCACAGGAAGACTGCATATTCTTAATTGACACTATATAGCAGGTACTCTCCCCCCAAAATACCTTCATAAGAGCCAAGAATCTGTCCAAAATGTTAACAGCCAAAACAAACGTTTCAGTTGCAAAACCAAAAAAGTTGGTCAGACTCCAAAGATCTTCCACCTTGGCATTCCTTTGTCTTGGGCACAGAGTATTTTCATTCTATGGCAAAAGCAAAGACAGAATTAAGCAGCAGCAGCAATGACTGCAATCACTAACTCCCTACACCACCTTTTGCTTAGATCAAAAGGAAGCAATTTTTTTTTCCCTTAAATACTTTATTTCTCTTTACTTAAAAATAAATAATTTAGATACTTGAGGCTCAAAACACACCCGAGATACATGAATTACAGACAGGTTCTGAGTCTCACTGGTGCAATACCCAGCACAACCACATTTCCAAGTAGGCACTTGTTATTTTAAGACAATAGTACCAAGTGCATACACAGTGACTCCTGACCTTACAGAAGGGGAAATTACCAAACCCATCTTATTCTCCTCTTTGCCTGCATGTCAATATTTAAATGACAGAAATTCTGCTTTCAAAACAAACAAGCAGACTGATTTCAGAGACTTTTTCTGTTAAACGTTAAGGCCCTTTCCAAAAACCTCACAAAAATCAGAAGGAACATAAGCCCGCCCTAAACTCTGTAAGGAACTCTAGTCCTTAACATGAAAATATTTATGCTTACTTATTGCTGTTAAGCACTGAGTGTTTCTAGGTTCATTTCCCTAGACCTTGCTAATGAAAAGCTGGTCATTTCCCCATTTCTAGTCTCCTTGACATCCCAGCTTTCCTGCAGTGGGTACAACACAGTGCTACAAAGCTCCGGAGATGAAAATAAAACACTTCTCTTGGTTCGGCGTTCACTCGAAGCTTAAACAATAAATATTAAACGCTTAAGTATTTTACTTGTCCTGTAGGTCACTGTTCTTTGATTATGTAGCCTATGTTAAGAACTACAGATTAAGACAGAATTAAAACAAAACTGACGTTTACAGAGGAAAGAATTAACTTTCCGAAGTTGACGAACGTCTTCCTTCAAGGTTTCTCTTCTAAAACGCTTCTTTCCTGCCCTGAGGTGGCTGTCCTCCTCCCTCCCTCAGCCCAGATCCCCCCCTCACCTCGGCAGCGCACTCGATGAGGCTGAGCCCCTTCTCGCGGGGCTGAAACCTCCCCTCCTGCTCCAGGTGGAGATTCAGCTGCTTGAAAAGCCACAGCGCCTCGCTGCTCATCTTCTCCCCTGCCTCCGGATCCTTTACCTTCACAGCAGACACACCTCGTCAACGGCTGGCAGCATTCCCTACCGCCGGACAAAGGGAACCAGGAGCCCCCCGCCCGAGGCCTCTCATCCGCCTCCCCCCCCGGGGGGAACCACCACCCCTCCCAGCACTGTGGAGACGAACAAAGGGGCCCGACAGGACGCCTCAAGGAGAGAGCAAGCCCTGCCCCGCCGACACACTCACCTGCGGAGGTGGGGAGAGTGCACCAGCCACCCCCCGCGGTCCTCACCGCTCG